ATTCGTTATTTTGAACAACATGAGAGTATGCGTACACGCGCATAACCGTAACTTTTTAATCAGCACACTTTTCTCACACATATCTCTGCTATCTATGCATAGGGAGCACACATTAACCTCTTTTTCTTTCCTTCGCATCTTCTCCTGGACCGTTCCCTGCACAAGAGGGATCCAAATTTCTTTTTACCTAACATGCGGACCTCACATGTTCACATGTTTCTCTTTCATTATTACATATACCACGTATTTTATAATATATATATCTAATTTAACAAAGTAATTAAATAATTATAAATTTTAAAATATCCATAAACATAAAATTGACGCAAGGTAAAAGAGATAAAAATATAATTTTTAATTGAACTTTAAAATAGAAATTCAATTATTGATAAGTGTATTTTCAAACTCCTAAAACAATATCAAAATTAAGACTATTTTTTATTACAATTTACTAATATTTTATTTATTTATATATTAGAATTTTATTTATATATCATTTATAAAATTAGAAAAGATGTGGAGACTAAATTATTTATATATTTTTATATATTTTCTTGTTTAATTAGAAAGACTAAATTATTTATTTTCTTTATATATTTCCTTATCTAATTAGATTTTCTTTTATTAAAAAAATTCATAATAAATAGGTAATTTGAGTTTTATAGAAACTCTTCTAAATATGTAATTCAAGTTTATAAAAACTCTTCTAAATAGCTTATATAAATAGACTCAATTATTTATATTTTTTAATATTTTCTTTATATATTTCCTTGTTTAATTAGAAAGACTAAATTATTTATTTATTTTATATATTTCTTTATCTAATTAGATTTATTTTTATTAAAAAAACTCATAATAATAGGTAATTTGAGTTTTGTAGAAACTCTTCTAAATATGTAATTTGAGTTTTATAGAAACTCTTCTAAAAATCTCAGTTTGTGTAAAATATATGCTACATATGATGTGTACTATTTTATTTTATTTTATTATTATTTTTTATTATTTATCTCTAGGCATACACTGTCACTGTCATTTCACCGATGTGTAAAATTGTTATGTATTTTACCAACCTTTTTACAAAGCCACATTCTCTATCTTTCTCATTCCATTAACCAATTTGTCAAAATTATATGGAATCCATGCATTACACTGATTGATTTTTATTAGGGGATATATTTTCAAAAGTTATAAAACAAACGCTGGAGCTAAAAATAAATAATTCAAAATTTTTGTATAAATTTATTATGACACATTAGATTTACAAAAAAAAAAAAAAAAAAAAAAAAAAAAAAAAAAAAAAAAAAAAAAAAGTGTACACAAAGAGATGCTCTTATATTTATTTTAAAATAAAAACACATAATAAATAAATAATTTGTGTTATTCTAAAAGGAAATATATAAACCCAACATATAAATTTTTATTTTTTTTAAAAATAATGGACTGAAACACTTTAATGTACGGAAACATTAATATACAAAAACTCTTTATACTTTTAATAGTAATGTATAAGATATTTAAAATCATATCAAGTTAGAGTTTTGATGAGAAGTTTTAGAAATAAAAATGTTTAAGATAAGTAGAAATAAAATTAAATATATAGGGTGTAACTTTAGTAAATTTAATTTAAAAAGAGAAATGAGGATGCAGTGAGGATTGAGAACCGAAAGTACAAAAAGTGAGCATTTTTTATCATTTAGACTCAATTATTCATAATGGAGGAGGAAGTATAGATAGATAACAACTAATCATAGAATAAGACAATATGGGTTGCATTTTTATCATTTAGACTCAATTATTCATAACGGAGGAGAAAGTATAGATAACAACTAATCATCGAATAAGACAATATGGGTTCAAGGAGGAGTGTATCTAGTATATTATTTGATAGGCTTTTTTTTCTTACTATTGCAAGGGAAGTTCTACAGAGAGGCTATTAGACCAGCGATGCTTCATGGAATTGACAATTAGAAAACAACATTTTCATATAATAAAGAGTGAGGTGTAAAAAATTCTCTAGAATTATGTTTGAATTTGTAAATAACTCCCCTGAATTATATTTTGTGCGTAAAATCTCCTAAACTATCACATTTTATTGTAACATATCCTAATGTTTATACTTATATTTTATTAAATGATCATAATATTCCTTCTTATTAAATTGCATTTAATATATTTTTCTTATCTAAATTAATTATGAAAAAAAAATTATATAAATTTGATGGCATATTCTCCATTAAATTTGCATAACTTAACTTTTAATTTTTGAAATTAATTATTTAAATAAAAATATTTAGTAGAATATTTTTTAAAAAATTAATTAATTTGAGAATAATTTCACTAACACTCTTTCCGGTTTGGCCAAATATCACACTCAAATATCTTTCAAAAATAACATCACTTTTTCACATACACCACAACCGTTAGTTAAACAGTTATGACACGATATAAAATGACTTAAATACTCTTTAATTTTGTTTAAACAATTATTTAAAATAAATAATTATATTAAAAGACTAAAATATTCCTCAATTTATTATAAATTGACACATTTATTATATATATACATACACAGACATATATATATATATATATATATATACATACACATATATACACACACACACGCGTCGCCGGGGAGGGAGTGAGACGTTGACGTCGACATCTCCGGGTCGCTTGCTTTCGGTTCCTTCTCTTGCCGAATCGTCCGCCGTCTATTACAAGTATTGTCTTATATGGCTCTTTTGATCAATACTGGATGATTTTGTGCATAGAAAAGAGAGAAAAATTGCGTTGCAGATGTCAAATATGGGCTGCGCTACTGGCTGACTTAAATGGAATGTTCTTTTTCTCACCTGCTCTACTATACTGCCAGGCTAAGAGAAAGGGAAACTAGGTTAAAGCTAGGTAGACAGGAGTCTGAGAAGCCTATGGCAATTTGGGAGATGCAGGCTCTAATCCCAGGCTCTAAGCCTATGTCTCTGTAAATTTGTACTTGTATTTTTATTTAATTTTTTTTTTAAGGTTAGTGAGATTTCTGACCAAGTCAAAGGATATTTCGGGAGCAAAATTATCTTTTTATATTTTTTAACTGAAACAAAAGTAAAAATGATTATTTTCGAAAGATGTTTAAGAGTGATATTTGACCAAATTTAAGGAGGTGTCAGTGAAATTAACCCATTAATTTTTACACTTTTGATGAATATATTACATGAAAAGAATGTATTTTTTTATAAGTATTTTATTAATTTTCATCAATATATTATATGAAAAAGAAATATTTTTTTACAATAAAATTTTTAAATTGGTTATAACAAGTTTTATTACAAATAATGAAGTTTTAATAATAAGTTAATCAATTAGAAACTAGTAGTTATAAATCTATTTATCTTTTTTATTTTTTCATTTTTATAATCAATTGATACTATAATAAAATTAAGGTAAATAGTATAATTAATATTTACATAAGAGAAAAGATAATAAAAATAATTTAATAAGAAATGAAAATTTTAATGAAAAAGGGTAAAATAGTCTTTTGTGATATATTTGACCTTAATCGCAATAAATCAATAATTCAGGGGCAGCTTTTAGTTCAAGGGTTATTTGCAAAACAGTAATAGTTTATGAGGTTTTTTTTGCACTTTACCTTATAATAAAGTGAGTGATAGAAATACGAATATTAAAATAAATGTGAAGTAAGATTAAAAAGGATGGAATTAAAAATAATCATATTTGAAAGATGGTTGGAGTAGCATCAATTAGAGATAAAATGAGAAAAAAATTGGTTAAGATGGTTTGGACAAAGACAAAGAAGACCATTAAGTGTGCCCGATTAGGAAAATTGCATAGTCCAAGTAAAGGTAGTGCTAGGGGAAGATACTATAGCATGCGAATTGAGCAAAGGCTAGAAGACTATGTTGATCAATCAATGAATATGATGAGGTTTCATTTTTCAATTGAGTATTGAAGAGTACTATTTCCAGTTTCACTTCACTTCTAAGCTAGTTTGGTGTCCGTGAATGAAATGGAATGGAATGAGAATGAAATTAAAAATGGAATGGGAATGGAATAGAATAGGAATGATTCACATTCTCTTGTTTGGTTACAAACATGGAATGCGTAAAAATGAAATGATGATTTCTATTCACATTTGATTTGACTAATGTAAAAACTAAAATGGAATAAATTTATATAGTTTTCTCCAAATAACCTTTATTATTAATAAAAAAAATTAACTAAAAAATTAGCATCTAAAGAAATTTTTTCCAATCTAGGGTAAGAAAGAGGTCTGTAAGAATGAAATTGGGGCAAGAGATAGAGAGAGTAAGTAGAGAGAAGAAAGAAACTGGGCAAGTGAATGGAGGTGTTGGAGGTTGGGTTGGGCCGTGTGTTAGAGAAGATGATGATGGTGGCGGGGAAGAAGGCTGGATTATGGAAAGGAGTATAACAATCTCCTTTCTAAAAAAATCCTTTATTTATTTATTGGAATTGATTCACCACTTCCATTAATTGAATATTATCTCAAAACACACCATGATTACCATATAGGGAAAAAAAAAATGTTCTTGATCTATTTATATTGCAAAGTATTTTTTACAATACGTGATGCATCGAAGAATATATATATAAGTTACTGGATTATGGAAAGGAGTATAGCAGATTTGATATGAAGGGGTTTTTTGTCATAATTTTTTTAATTTTATTCCATGTGGGAATAGAATGCTCATTCCATTGTTAAAGAGAGGGAATGAAATAGTGGGATTGGTCATTCTCGATAATGCCTCTTGATTCTCTTTCCAACTTTAATTTATCTTACCAAACACGGGTATGGAATAAAAACCATTCACATTCCCTCCTAACTGATTCCATTCCATCACACCAAACTAGCCTGTACTTACCAATTGTGACCTATGTAGAGTGCACATGGGCACCCCACACTCTAGCAGAGGTTTCATTTTTCAGTTGGGTGTTGAAGAAAACTATTTAAAGAAATGATAGATACATAATTGAAACTTGAAACCCTTTCATCAAACTCTTACAAGATTTGCAACAAGAGAGAACCCAAACAACATAAGCTCATAATATGTATGAAACTACAGAACATTATTGATCCTGCTAAAAGAATGAAGAATATCAAAATAAAATAAAAATAAAATAAAATAAAATAAAAATGCTCACTTTGATTTACTATTCCTGTCCTCTCTCACCCCCAAACCAAAATCATATATATAGGTATATAGAGAATTGTATAGATTATATTAATAAGCTTAGCTCTCAAAAGGTGGAGCTCTTCTTGGTCTTGTATCGATACGAAACCTTCTTCTTCTTGCTTGAATTGTTCTCGATTGTGAGGACAATTTTGCCAGGTTCATTGTTGGTGAAAGTGTTGCGAATTGGTGCTTCATGTATCCCCATCTTCTTTCCTTTCTGAACAATGATGGTATAAGAACCCTCATCAGTAGGAACAAACTCCTCCTTGTAGCTAACTTCCCAACCCCAAACAGTCAGGTCCCAGAGGAAAGTAGTTCCAATCTGTTAACACCAAAAAAAAAAAGGCACTTTTTAGTCAAGCACAGTCCTCAAAACCTCATTTTATGAAGAAAACAAAACCAAATATTTCTTTTAGTACCTCTGCCATAGGCAATTCAATGGTCTCAGTTGATCCAGCCTTGACAATAAGTTCCGAAGCCTCAGCATCTTCATTTGAAAACTCGAAATCATTGTCACGCTTGAAGCCACCATACTGGACTGGGATTTCCTCAATCCGAATGTACCTGTCCAATGTTTTGAGTAAATTTCATATGCTTCAAAGAATTTCATGTCATTTGAGGCTAAATTTGGTAACAGAGAGAACTACTCACTTGAGAAGGGTCTCGGTGACCTTAGCCGGGCGAGCAACAAGAAATTTGCTTTTAGTCCTTTGGGTTAAGAAAGGAGATAAAATGGCATGGAAGGCATAGAACCAGAAAGGCACATTAATGAATATCTGCAACCAAAATTATTGACGCCCATTAGCTTATATGAACCAAATCATTAGACTAAATGAAAAGTAAAATAAAATAAAAACCCTTGAATTGTCTTACATTTCTTGCCACAAATTCTGGGTAGTTATCCTGAAGAGCTCCAATAGCTTGCATAGTTGCAACACGAAGTACCTTCTTTGTTGGTCCAGGGGAGTTCTTGAGATCATTGATTTGAAGCAATGAATTGACACCACCAGCCTTGAAATCAAGCTTCTGAATACCCTTCTCCATAAACTGGAACCTCCATCTCAAGAACTGATTCCGCTTCTCCTCAGTCCCAAAAGTCTTCTCTGCATTCTTCAAAACTCCAAAAATGTTGTAACAAATGGGGTGACCTTCGCGGTCTACACCACTCATGTAGGCGGCGGAGGCCAGATCAGTGCCAAGATCCTCATTCAAGATGGAATCTATGTTGAACTCCTTCCTCCATTGAAGTGTCTTCTTCAGCATCTCAAAGGCCTCATTGACCTTGAACTCCCTAGCTCTCAAAAACTTGAGCAGGACTACATCAGTGCCTTCAACACCCTTACTGGGCAAAAGGGGAATTCCCCAAATTGAGATATCTTTATCAATTTCCACCCCTTTCTCTTCGTCACCCGCCTCAGGTTTCTGCTCATTGTCCTCCTTGACTTCTCCTTCGGCTTTCGATTCCTCCTTTTTTTCGCCTTCGCCGCCTTCTTTAGCTGCTGCTTGGTCTTTCTCTTTCTCTTCTTCTCCTTCTGGTTTATCCTCCTCCTTTTCAGTCTCTTTCTTGTCCTCTTTATTAAAGAGATTGTTTCCGAGGATGGCCTCTTCGAGTTTGGTCTTGAAGTCATTCAAGGCCTTCCGCTCATTATCTTTTAGATCAGAGAGAAAATTGCTCTCTTCTCTGTAGGAAGAGCTTTTCTCAACTGTTTTGGATGTGGGTTCATCATCCACTTTCTTCACTTCAGTCTCTCCATTGACAACATCAACTTTCTCGGCTTCGTCAGCAACATTGATGGGCTCAGCAAAAGTTTCAGCAACTTGGGTTTCTTGAGCTTTAACCTCAACAGTCATGGTGGATTGATTGTCTTACCACACTGAAAATCAGACAAGAAAAGAAGAGGAGAGAGAATGTAAGAGATTTGGATTCAACAAAGGAAAAAAATGAATGAAAGAACAAAAAAAAACCTAACTCACCTCGAGTCTGTGATCACTGTGTGTATTGTGGTGTTGGGAGGGTTGTGCTGTTCTGATGACACAGAGGGTGTGTTGTAACGGTTATATAAATAAGAGCCCACAACGGTCACTTATCTGTCGCCACCGAAGAGGAGCCGTTGGGATTCTTTTCCAAAGGTTGTGCTAGCCTGGAGGCCAGCAAAATTTGTTGTGTCAGAATCATTTTGGGCCCACATCATTTACATTAAAATAATCTCTTTTTATTTATTTTTTTGACTTTTGTCTTCCTAAAATAGAGATTTTTTTGTTTTAGGTAAGTAGAAAAATTGAGATTTTATTGACAAACAAAACAATATTATGGGCCGATTTAGTTAAATACTAGTAACAAGTGAAACGATCTTGGAATTAGTAACCTAGTTAGTTTCCAATTTTTAAAATACTAAAAATAAAAAATAGAATGTGATATTCTCACTTCACTAAATCGTATTGTATACTATATTTGGTCTTTTTTTAATAAAATGAAATAACATAATTATGACTCACTATAAGAGTAATTTTTGAGATCATTGTAGAATGTGATTATTCTAAAAACTCTATATAGGAACAATTTTTAAAAATAAAATAGTTGCCCCAAAAGTGTTTTAATTTTTTCTTTTAAAACTAATTAACATAAAGGAAACAAATCATTTTCCAAATGGACCATTAGCTTTCAAAAAGCTAGGATCTATCATTCAAAACATTTTCATTGACTGTTATATCATTTTTAAAAAAATAAAATCAGGTTCAAAGGGATTTTGAATTGGGGTTCAAGATTTTGAGGTATAAGGGTAATTTTTAAAAATTTTGGTTCCGGCAAAAAAATTTAAAATTTAAAAATTTTGGGGTCCATAAGCTGATTGATAGATTTAATAATTAGAAACTGTCCAATGGGGTGAAAAGATGTATAGAATGAAGAAAAAAAGGAAAAGTATTTTCAGAGACTAACCATAGCTCAAAAAAATAATAATAATAAATAAAATAAATAATTTAGTTGCTTTAGAATGCTTGTTGGCCATTCAAAAGTAAATTCAATTTTAAAAGCATTTATTATTAAAAAATAACTATTATAACATAGAATTGACAGTGTAAGTAAAATATAACCAAAACCAAGTTTTTCTTTTAGGAAGAGATATTTTCGCACTAATAAATAAGAAATTTCACTTCAAAATATTTGTTATAACAACATATATGAGATAGCCAAAATCTTCTAGCTTAGCGGGTGAGATACCTCCTGTTGACTCTGGAGTGGGAGTGCATGGGTTTGAGATTTTTCATCAGCTAACCCCCTAACATGGCTTAAACTTCTAAAAATAAAAATATGAGATACCATATAAACTGCTAAAATGTTTCTTTAGGGTCAGAACTAGAACTTCATAACCTCTTTTTTGCCATTCTTGAAAAAAAAAAGAAAAAAAGAAAAAAAGAAAAAGGATGTATTATCATTAGTTGTATTATCAAGTCGTACATCAAAATATTTTAAATATTTAATTTTCTCATCCTTGTTAACGGTTTAGCTATCATTTTTTTTTTTTTAATGAGAAATGATACATTTGCCGACCTAATCCTCTAATTTATCCACCGAATCCTAGGTGGCTAGGCCACGTTAGACAAAAAAAATCACAATCACAGCTCTTTCTCTCCACGATTCCCCTCTCAAGCTCTCATCTCAAGCCAGGCAGGATGCTTCGCCGGCGACACAAAAAAATCACAACTCTTTCTCTCTCCACGATTCCCCTCTCAAGAGACGGGATGGATCCGACTTTAGCAACTGCAACTTGTGCACGCTGAGGTGGAGATGGTCTGGCTGTGACGGTCTCGAACTCGGAAGAACCAAGTCGAAGAGTGCGTGAGATCAATGAGAGCTCTTCGCCGGAAAAACCAGTTTGGGGCTGATCGTCGGCGAATGGTTCAATTTCTGGGGTTAAGCCGCCACGCTCGGGGAGGGGTGGCTCGGCTGTGGAACAGCGAGCTTACGGCGGCTCAGATGGACAGCTTGGACAGTGGTGAGGATGGGCTCGCGGTGGGCCACGGGCTAGTTCGGCCCGGCGACGGCAGCGAATAGCCGGCGGTGGCGATGGCAGTGAGCAGACGGTGGAGGAACTCGATCCGGCCATCATCAGTCTCCATCGACTTCTTCCAGAGGGAGCTCCGATCTGGCGACGGCTTGGCTCGTGAAGTCGACGACAAAGGAAAAGGAGATCACTTGGGACCAACGTTGTGGTCTTGGGGTTTAAAGCTTCGAATCAAGCAAAACTCGGTCGGATTTGTTGTGCGGTGTCGTCGTCGGGAACTGTTATTTGATGCGGCGAAGTTTCCGACGGCGCCTCCAAGCAACTCAAAGATGAGATTCTTGGTTGGATGATGATTGGAATTTGATCTCTTTCTCATGCTCTATCTCCTTGTACCGGTGGAGAAAGCCAGCGATGGTAGAAACAGAGGGGAAATGAGAGAGAGAGAAAACAGTGTTTTTTTTTGTTGCTGACTTGGCTTGGCCACCTAGGATTCGGAGGATTAAGTCGTCAAATGTATCATTTCTCTTTTTTTTTATTCAATAAAAGCCATGACAGACGTATTATCATTAGTCCAAGCAATATAACTTTTCTTTTCTAAAATGAGAGATTTGAGATTCAAATTTCACCGGGTACAATTGTGAAGGAGTGCGTCATTACTTCATCAAAAAAAAAAAAAAAAAAAATCAAAAAGTCATTGTCACAAAGAAAAAAAAAATTTTATTTTCTCAATCAAATGGTTGGATTCACACTTCTCTTTCTTACACATGGCAGGCCTTCAAATGATGAAAAAACTTTTTAAATTATATATCTCCATATATGCATATATATATATATATATATTAATATATTAATTAGGTAGGATTAATTTACCAATTAAAACAGCAGTGAGTGGGGGAAAGCATCGTGGTATTTGTTTGTGCATGCCTGCCCTATATCTGACCTGTCACTGCAGGTCCCACTTAGTGGTCCACTTATACATACATGGTTTTATATCTTCATCTTCCAGCCTGCTCAACTCAATTGATTCTCTCCACAAAACCTACCACTTGTCAAGGCCTCATTGGTTGAGAAAGTTGACCACCTTGTTTGACGAGATTCTCTTGCTGTCTGAATAGTTGGCAGGGTCACAGAAGCATGTGGTAGATATTTGGAATTACTACTTTTGTAATCTTGCAGAAATTAAGTTTTGAAGGAAAAACTGATTGGGATGTGTTTGGACCCACCTAATTTGTAAGTACACCTTTTCATGTACGTATATAATATTAACCAAAATTCCAACAATAAAATTTCAACTTTCAACCTTATTTTTTGAAATGTTAATTTTGCCTTCAATTATTTCGTTGATTTTCTTCTTCTTCTTTTTTCAACTAAAAGAGATATAAATTACATTTGCACATTTTTAAAAACTACTGAATACAGAATTTTACTTAAAATAAAGGTTGGTTTTTGAACTGGTCAAAAAATAAATAAATAATAAATAAAAATATGGATGCATTTATATCCATTACCGAGAATTTATGATATGGGGTCGGTGGTCTTAACAATGAAGCGGAGCATGGCGTGAAAAGGGTACATGTATCACGTGACCCCACGCATTTATGAAATTTGTGTCCGTAGCCATTAATACAACTCGTAGGCCATAAAGCAGTTACATCTTAAGACTACGATGTAAAATATGTTTTTAAAAATAAAAATAAAAAAAATTTGAGGTGAAGTATTTTTTTTATTTTTATTTATTTGATATTTGACAGTAATTTAAGTCAGGTTGAAATCGAATCCATCCAATGGAAGGTGTAAAATAACTTATTAAAAATTAATGAATAAGTTACATTAGTTAAATTTTAATATATATTTTTTTCGTAAATATTCTACTACAATTAAACACCAAAAAAAATAAAAAAAATATTTTTTAAAAAATATTTTACACTCGAACAAATGAAGCCTAATGGAAATTATTTACAGCCCGTGAGTCCGAAAAACTCCAGACTATTTTACCGTGAAAAAGCTAATGTTGTGATAACTTCAGTAGAACATGAGCTGACATCACTGGGTTTCTCACAGTGGGACCAAATGAGATTTAATTTTTGTTTGTTTTTTATAATCAAATTACTTATATACCCTTTATCCTTTTTAACTCCTACTCTAATTTATAATCAAATTACTTATATACCCTTTATCCTTTTTAACTCCTACTCTAATATGGGGATAGACGTGAATCACTCTTTCAAATTGTTATCGTTATTTATGAAAATTTATAAAACAATTTTAGAATTTTTTTTTTTTTCATGCCTCCACATCCCTTTGGGAATTTTTTTTTTTTTTCCCATCACTATTATTTTTGTACTGCATCCAAAAGTAAATCTTAATGCAAAACTAAGAGAAGTGAAAAATAGAAGAAAAAGGAAAAAGCAGGCGCCATTGTAAGGTGAAAACATTAAGAAAATGGACCAGAATTCCACAAACAAGATTTTCCTCAATTTTAAACTTTCCTGAAAATGGAATCACCATTCAACTATAAGTCATAAGCATATCAAGCAGCCTCTTACAGAGAGGATGTTACTCAATTAAAATTTATTTTTCAAAAAAAAAAAAAAAATTACAATATGATACCTAATAATACAAAATATAAATATATAATTTAGTACTTACCATTGTTGTATTTTCAGTACCCTCATTGCTTTTGGAGCAAGCAAAAACCATTCCCGCTATGAAACTCCAAGCAACCAGGTCATGTGCCAAAATTAGGAGAACCTCCTGAAGTTGTAGGTTTTCTCAAGAACTACCGAGTCCATGTGCCAAAATTAGTAGAACCACCTGAAGTTGTAGGTTTTCTCAAGAACTACCGAGTCGATTTTGGTTTATATTGCCGAATTTGCCCGTTAATTCATCCTCGGAGTCCTTATATTTGCCTGTTACCCTGTCCAAAGTGCATATAATGAAGTCAGTCTTAACTTGTTTCGTATACTGTAGCCATACTTGATAATGATCACACACACTAGATCCGTAACTTACATGCATATATGTATTTTCTTTTTCTTTTTTTTATATGTATTTGTCTATCCTAACAACTCCTTAGGTAAGGACACAACCACTAATGCCTCCATGGGTGTATCCTAACTATACTAATACACGAAGACTAACAGCTTAAGCATTTGATTTAAATGCTTGTTCACGGCACACGATGCCCATAGAGCAGACGAGAAAAGAAGCACAACAATCCTAGTCAAAGTAGTAATTTTGAGGTTGAAAACACGTTACAAGAAAAAAAAATTCAAAAAATTCTCAAGGGGTGAGCCAAAACATGGCCTTAGAAAAAGGAATTACAGAGAAATTTTTTGTTTGGTATAAAACTTTAATAAGTTTAAGATACAAAGAACACATTTTGACCAACCCTTTTGTTCAATAGAGCCCTAAGGTTCAATCATAAGAATCACATTCAGATGAAACTACTAAAATATTTGCCCTTAAATTTTACTATAAGCAACTAAAATATTCTTCTACAAAGTTGCATCAAGCATATACATCATAATATCAGTAAGCGTAAAAAGTGGATCCAGTGTGTCATAGTAACTAAAAAAAAAAAAAACTTCGAACCTGTTATATGACAAAAAGGCATTGCCTATGGTCCCTACGACCTTGTTCCGTACCTTTCTTACACAAACCTGAAAACAATTTGTCCAATATGAAAATCTTTAATATCATGTAGAAAAAAATAATATGACGCATACAAATTGAGATTAAACCCACTTGCACTAGATCAATGGGGCCAGCCTCTGGATCCCTGTTCCGGTGAATAACAATCCCATTGTCACATTTATTTATGAAATGTGCACTTCCACTGATATCATACATAGTTGGAGGACCTCCAACCCATTGATGCATCTGTTAGCAGGTCTACAGGTTAGGAAAATAAAAATAAATATGTATAAGAGTGGAAAATTAAGGCTGCCAACCTGTCTTGGATGTGCTACAAACCAGACATGACAAGAGTGATGTTGAGCAAATCTTTTAACCTTTGTAAGCATCTGACTCACATACTCTGTTTCAGTCCTGTTTCAGATTCAATTAATTAACACTTTGAGAATCCATAATACAGCAGATGTCCAAAATAAGGTGGTGTTACGACAAACACCGCAAACCAAGAACAAAACAAGAATCACGACAAAAAAAGTAAACTCGATGCGCACAAAGAACATAAAGATTTACCCGGTTCATTCAAAACCTAGGCTACGTCCATAGTGAAAATCCGGGGAAAGATTTCACTATGCGAAAATCAAGAGATTACAAGTTTCAGCCCCCATACGCTAGCTCTCGCTCTCGCTCTCTCTCTCTCTTTCCTGCAATTTTCAGTGTTCCCTCGTTTTCCACTCTAATCCCTAAACGTCCTTATATACTGGACTACAAGAGAAGTCCTAAACAGGGTCCACGACCCGCAAGCAAAAAATAGGTAAAAAAATATTCATTTTTCGGCTGAAACAAATTTCGGGCCACAACCTCACAGAAGGCAAGGACGAGAAATATGCGAGGTTGGCAGATTTTTCTAGCAGGTCTTCTAAATGGTTATTTTTCTTTTTCTCATCTAATTCTTTTTAAAAATTAAATAGACAAAGGAAGTCAAATGTCAAGCATAAGACACAGGTATAAAAATATTAGCTGGCATTCTATATATATGGGCAACTATTGGAACAGTTCATCAAAACTTGAGTATCAAGTATACCTCCAAATAACCAAGATGGATCAATTTCTTTCCCAGATGGTAGTAATAACTAGGAATCACATCTGATTTAGCAAATGAATTAATCCCAAAGGTTAGGCCAAAAGGAAGAGCAGGGCTTCAACTTTATCTGGCAAAAAGTGCGACTTGACCATAAGCAGCTAAGAAGATACAATCATCATCACAGATGGTGGCTACTCCACATTTTCTTCGAATAGACGTCAAAGCTTAATATCCATGTAATTGTGTGATAGACCTCCACAAGGCATCTTTGACTACAGGCCCTCTGATCCGCTTGACACACTGTCAAGCAATTCAAAGAAAAATGCATTAATGGCTTCTATCTGGCACTTTTGAGTTACCGTATTTAGATACGTAAGAGTTGCACACTTAGGTGTTCTTGATAGAAGAGCCTGTCTAATCCAACAATGACACAAAATATGTCCTAGAAATCGATAGAAATAGTATAGGAAACAAGAAGCTAACTTAGGTGCACTTTTTGGACAGAAAAATATATAAGTTTCAATTCTATGACTAAACATGAGATGTAAAATAAGAGAGAACATAAAAAGGCAGGCATCTATGAGTAAACACTCAATGTAAGAGATGTATCTCTAAGGAACGCCACATTTTCAAAGAGCATTCCAGTGGGTATCAGATTGAAAGGGTATCGTATTCCAGAAGTTACCAATATCTTAATGCACGTGCCATTTCAGCCCAATTGTCCAGTGTTTGGACATTACTGTCATAAAATGTAGAGTACTCAATGCAATAGCACTGCCCTAAACTATTTACAGATAGTACCAGACCAGAAACAGAAAGCAGATAAGCTGAAATGTATAGCAGATAAAATATAAAAATCTACTTAAGCAAAGAAAATACTAAATGATTTATGTGCATCTACGATGGAGATTAATGCATAGGAGATGTAAATCATAGAAATTAATTTGTTATAAAAGAGTTGGTTCACAATCTTGAATAAGAGTTGGTCACTCTATTTGGATAAAGTGTGTCTGAGTCATTATAAATAAAGGGTTAATATCATTGACGCCCCTGAGGTTTGGACAAATCCCGCACGGAAACACTTATCGAAAATTACTATCACTCAGACCCAAAATAACTTTTCCGTCACTAACACTGTCAAAAGGATGTGAAATAACAATTTTACCCTCATTTTTTTAATGTATTTTTAATCCAAATTATCATAAAACGAAAATGACCAGAATAACCTCGTTTATTTATCCAGTATCACATGCTCACTCTCTCTCTGACCTTCCATCTCAAGGGAATTATAGAGACCCAAACACACCCACACTCAATCGACAACCAACGGTTCTGACAACGGTGATGATGGAGAGATGCTTCGATGACGACGTGGAACAAGTACTTCCATGAGTACAGATTTATATATATACACACACACACACACTAATAAAAGACACGCGATGCACGTGGTGAACTCAAAAGTTAATTTGTAATCTTAATTTAATTTAATTTTTTTTTTTTTTTTTTTTACATAAAAATTAAAATAATAATAATAATAATAATAATAATTTCTTGAGTAATTGAAATTTTAAATATTTATGAAGTCAATAATAATAATAAAAACTCCAATAATTCTTGGGTCTTGGAGGGACATGTGATAGTCCCTTCAATATGGTCGATCATCCTACGACCAATGATATGCATACAGGCAAATTGAGTCCACTCCATATAGTTCGTCTCATCCAACCTAACAGTCTTATTACAAAGGCCTAGATGGTGATCACTACTACCTCCCCATACTGGAATCAGACTAGGAGAAACCCCAACTTCTTTTTAAGTCACCTTTGAGCCAGACATCTTTTCAAACAATTTCTGGGTATACAATCCTCATAAACAAAAATAGCAACAAAATACGTAGAGAACCACCTCTCTAACACACAAAAAACTGCAACTAGAAAGATTACCGTCTTGTGAGATGCATAAAAAACGATCACACAAACCCTAGAAAGCAACAAAGTAAACCATACCGGAGGCGCTAACGACAAAGAAAAAGTCGTCGTTGCAGAACAACTCGAACACGGAAAAAACACCGATCGAGACTGCAATCGGTCAAAAACAGGTCCAATTCTTTTTGCAAACACTACTTCCAAGTTGGATCCGCAGTGCGTTTGGATGTGATTAAAATTACTTCCTTGCAAACAAATCCCATCTTGGAATCTCTTCAAAACCCTACAAAACCGCTAGGGTTTACACAAACTTGCCCTAGGGTTTCAACTATATACCTAGAGCTTTACAAACCATGCTCCGATACCATGTTAACTTTAAGAGATAAACGAATCAAGAGTAAAGTATAAGAAAAAGAAGAAAAAAGAGAAGAAAGAGTATGAGAGAAAAATAGAGAAGGATGGGGGAAAGAGAGAAAGAATGAAAGAATACTTTTATCCTTCCACCACATTCTATTTATACTAACAAGTTTCAAAAATTACACATGATTCTTTCATTCTTCCACCACATTCTATTTATACTAATAAGTTTCAAAAATTACACATGAGCCCCAACATTATATAAGTAATAACAAATAAGCCCCTGACAACAATTTTGACCTATGAGTTGTCAAAAGAAATAATATTACACTCGGAAAGTGAAAAAAAGAAATAACAAAGCTCATATGCTCAGAATAAGAGTGTGTTGAGTCATATCCAAATCTCCATATTCCTCTTCAATAAACGAGACAAACAAAGTGATTAACCCACACTCTTGCATGTTATCTAACCTTCATACTATTTTTATTTTTTTAATGAAACAAATCATTATGCAGCAACAGCTGTTTCAGAAGTCAATGGTTCAAACAGAAAAATCAACCAGATTCATCTTGACTTGTCACAACAACGAGAACTTCAACATCCAGCTATTTCCCCTTGGTTTTCACTTAAAGCTAATCTATGAGATGACGACAATTTTTGTTCCTTTAATAAGGGAATAAGCTAAAATTAAATAATTGAAAACTTACAAAGTTCATCAGAGCAGTATGAGAACTTTGGAAGTTCACAAGTTGTTTACTACATGAACATAAATTCTAAAAAGATATGAGGTGAAAGACTCACTGGCTCGCAGAACGCTGATGATCAAGCTCATTGTATGGATCAATCACAAGTCCACGCACCCCATGTCTCAAAACTGCTGCTCTTGCAAGATTAAGAACCCAGTCTATATCTGGAAGGCAGTCATTTTCACACCTATTACACAATCCATAGGGTAAGTAAACACAGAAGGACATGAAAAGAAAGTTCAGAAAAATTACAGGCAACAGTATATAAAATTCATCAAAAGTGAAATCATGTTGAACAAGGCCTGTTTCATATATAATAAAATTGCTGTAAAAATAACAAAATAAAATAACAGCATGACCCTACTAACAAGAATAGTTACAATTGAAAAGATGTATTTAAATGTACCTTTTATCTAATATGAGAATAATCTATATATTATGCGGACATAAGTATGTGTATCAGATGCAGGTTTGCATACAAAGTATAGAACCTAATTGAATTCAATCTTAGGACATGTGGACCCAGCTCGAAATGTGTCCAAAACTTGGATGGGTCTACTACGAGTCGTTGTGGAGACGTCTTGACATTTAAATGCAGAACATTTTACATAATAGCATAACGTATGATGCTATTGCTTTTCAAAAATATACTCAATTATTGTTTCAGTGAAATAGAATCTGGTAAAAAAGCAGAATTCAGTCAATCTTATAATTAAGAAACCCTAATTACCAAAAACAAAGAATTACGGAACCTTTTTTGCTATCAAATTTGAACTTTGTCTTTTCTTCCACCATCACATTTAGAGGATCCGTACGTTTTAAATAGGTATGTTAGATATCCCAAACCCATACCCATGTTGTAACGTGTCAACACGGGTATGTTGAGGGGAATAGGAAGGTCTGTGTAACACAGTGGGTAACTGCATTGAAGGATAAGACCTTTATTGTGAGAAGTAGACTAAAACAGAATAATTCCCTCACAAAAGAAGATGAGAACTAAAACCTTTATGATACAATCCATCCATCAACGTGAGGTAAAAGAAACAAACAACAAAAGCAACGGGGAAAAAGCAAATTGCAGTGAAGGTAAGTTTCTTTACTTTGTCTGAATGGCATGATGTTCTAACTACATGCTGACTGCTGTACTGCTAAAGGTCTTAGACATATAATGTCTTTGTTTTCTGAAAGGTGAAATATATATTGTATTAACAATTTTTTTTTTTTTGGATAAATTATTGTATTAACAATTTTTAAACGGCGAAATATGTATTGCATAAACAATTTTTAAACTTGTTCATATATGTCATAGTTCTTTTGTTTTTTCAGCCTTCAATTTTACTCATTCCCTTGTTAATCTTTTCAGTCAGTTTAACATCTAATTCACAGATACATGGTTATCTGTTCATTCTCTTTCAATTGAAAATGCTTAAATATATTATCCCATGCATTGCACTTGTTTAAAACTAGTTTTGTCATAAAGGACAGATCCATAGTTTTATTCCAAACTCCTCCACGCAGATAGCAGTCTTGTGCAGACTGATCACCTTCACATCTTTACAATAGCAACAAACTGGTCTTAGCTGGATGGGACAGGCTAGGCCCAATAATCTGCAAATCCTACATAGCCATCCAGCAAGCTCAATGAACAGAAATGAGGATGTGAGTAAGCCTTCACTGCACATGGTGTGTTTGTTACAGCATCAACAAATGAAACAACTGAAAAGAATAGTATTGGTCTATTACAGCATGAATAGCACTTACGGCAATTGAAACTTTTCACTCACCGTATGAGATAAAATGTCTGGCTCAGCCATTGCTTCCCTTTCTCTAGGTCATCAACACCCATCCTTTCAACAGATTCTCCATACCTAAGAAAGATTAGCCAGGACAGCATAAAAAGTTAAAAAGTCATAACACAGAATAAAGGATATGATAAATCAAAAGGTAGTAGTTCTAACTCATTTTCTTTTCCTTTCAATGCTTCAAAAAACAGTTCCAAAAATTAATTGACCCACCAAGGACTGAATCTGTGTGCCTACTTGAAGGACATTCTCATATTGAAACCTACCTTAAACCACCCATAATAGACAGCATATACAAGCTTAAGCAGTAATTTTAAAATATGACATGGAAATAAGAAGTAGCATAAATAAATGTAGCAGAGAGGGTGGGCCTTGGAGCAACAGTAAGGTTGCTCCATTGCGAACTGGAGGTCACGGGTTCAAAATTGAAAACAGCATCTCCATGTGGAGGTAAGGCTGATGACCTCCCCAGACCCAGCAATGGCGGTAGCCTCGTGCACTGGGCTAGGCGTTAGCCCTTTATAAATATATGTAACAATGTAAAACAGTAAAAGAAAGGAAAAAATTTCTAGATCAAGAGACCCCATAAACATATCACTATCTAATATTGCATCTAGTTTCATCAATAATCTAAGAAAAGACTAAGAACAAACAACTTCTCAACTGAGGAAGACAATAAATTCCCTACATCCCATGAAGCAGGTAAAAAGAAAGGATGGCAAGTTCCTCATACCGTAAACATACTACACCTGAACAACCAAACAACTGCAGGTGGCTACAGGCTCACAGCCAAATAAAAAGGGTAAAAAAAAATATCGCTAAGTAACATAACAAATAATTGGCAGAAATAAAAACCTTATGGAAGTCTGGCCAGCCAAACTTGAGATTCAAGAATAATCAAACCCAGCCCAGCCTGTGGTCACCATATAATGAACCAGATAGGGTGATTTGTAGACATGAATGCAAGTGTAAGACAGACATGAGACCATTCAACATGGCAGGCATAAAAGAACAAGCCATGGGGGCACGGCAGTACATCATATATCTATAAAATAATTTTATAGGATGGATTACTGAGCAATTGAGCATAAATAGATTTATATTTGTTAGTTCCTAGTAATTCAACTCTTTTCCTTATCATCATCCTTGCAATTATTATGAATGGGCCTGAAATTCTCTTTTTCAGTTATTTTCTGTTACAAGTCAAGTCTCCTATTATAATTAATTTTTAAAATCCATTTCTAGTTACTTCATCCCACGATAGTTTTGGTCAGACTTTTCGCCTATTATCATCTATACAAATGAATCTTCCTTTTCTTATTGATGCATCTATTAATCTATGCTATAGATATCTGTTGGATCCGGATCTCATCTGAAAACCAATTGGTGTCCAGTAAGGGAAGGACACGCATTCCGTTGGCACAAAGATGCTTCAACGTTGCGCTCCTTACAGTTTTGATGGTAACAAACAAAGAAGAAAGTGTGTTTAACATCTTTTCTAAAGATGCAGCAACAGGAATGATCAAAAGCTAATCAAGGATGCGTTATGGAAAGGATAGCACAAAGAAAGAATTTGCAGAAGTCGTCAAAGGAGTAGTATAGAACGGTGAGAGTTAGATCACTTGTAAAGCATTGGTTTATAGCATTTGATTTAAAGCTCTGGATTCACTCATATCATGCATTACATCTAAACAAAAGGTTTTAAAACATTACACAAATGATAAAGGTCTTCACAGATCATCTAACCGAACAGATGATAGGATGTTATTGTTATGATGATCAAAAACAGAGATTGTATTTCCAGCACTAGCCAAGTAACCGATCAGATCACAATGTAACCGATCAGATGTTACCATGTAACCAAACAAATTGCTTCATGTTATCATTCAGATGACCATAACACGAAGGAAAAAAACAAGGATGACCATAACAGAAAAGATGTAATATATCCGCTCTGTCATCTAACCAAACAGATTGTCACTTGTGTTCGAACAGTTCATCTCAAGTAACCGATCAGATTACCCTATGTAATCGATAAGATGACAAAAACAAAAGAGCAACTGATCATCGTAGTTCGTCATATTGGCATTAATTCACATTCCTATGTTATGCCACATATTATCTACAAATGATCATTATTAGGGTCTTAAGAATGATCATCGCTTTAAGAGAGAAAACCCGTTTTTCAAAAGAAACATTCAAGCACTCATATTTATTATTTCATTCATTCATTAAATCCTAATGAGCTTTGATCTTCTGCTATATTCTAATATGTTATAGGATTGTGAGATTTGATCTGCGTATCAAATCCTTGAGAGTTTCTTTGTGATTCAATCTTTTATATTCAATCAGTTGTAAGGGTTGGCATAACCCAGCAGAAGTCTAAAAGAGGATTGTTCTCTTAGCAAGAAGAAGTTGAAGCTGTGAGCTTCTTGTACCGGTTTGCTGTCCACCCATAAGGAAGTGCCATAATGGGTATTGGGAAGTCTCAAGAGGGATCTTGAGCCGAGGAGTAGGAGTTACTGAACCTTGCTAAATCGTTGTGTCAAGAGTTTGCTTTTCTCTTACTCTTTCTTTATTTTTATGCTGTAATTTATTATGTCTCTTCATTAGTAATTCATCTGATCCAAACTTATAATTGAAGTGCATGTTTGAAAATCGAATTATTTGGTATGTTCCCCCCCCCCCCCCCCCCCCCCCGCCCCCGGGGGCGGGCGGCGAGTCATTTACTGGGTAACAATTGGTATCAGAGCCTAATCTCTATTCTAAAGATCTAACCATCTTAGAGATCGATCATGACTAATGTTAACGGTACCACCTTTCAAGAGGGTGAGTCACCACAGACCTCCTGGTTTGATGGAACCAACTATAGCTACAAGAAAAATAGAATGATGGATTATCAAATATGGCATGTCATAGTTAATGGTCCATACATTCCCATGAAAGATGTTGATAAAACTAATATTCCTAAAGAAATGAGTGAATGGGATGCAAATGATTACAAGCTCATATCCGACAGCTACAGTGTACACCTAATAAGGATGTTTGGTCGTCTCTGATATAGGGCTGGCAAAAGGACTGTTTTGTTTAGTGTAGCTTCAGGCTGAACTATTGGAGATAAGGTTATATGGATATAGGCTTATCTGATCCAATGGTTGGAAGTGGTGTGGTCAACCACCTTCTCAAATCTAATGGCTGGAGTCATTGAGTTGAAGATTAAAATTTTGTTGAAAGGGTCTGGTGCAAATAAGTTGCCATAGTACATCAGAGAGTATCTGTTTTTGAGGGAATCATGTGCATACATGTTGTACTTGGGTTCAAAATGTGCGGTCAACCCTTTGTCTGAAATTCGACGGCTGTGATTGGTTTTAGTGTATGGATAAGAACCAAGCTTTTCAGGATCAAGATTCTACGTAGGATCATTGGGCTCCGTAGAATCAGATCGAGAATCATAAGATTCTACCAAACTAGTAGAAAAATAATTCAAACTAACTGCTTAAAAGGTAGAGCTCTCATGACAGCTATGTAACATCAATTTAATTAGAATTGCGAGATACTAACCAGCAATAGATACTAAGTAGTGCGTCCAGGAGGAATCGGCCAAACTTCGTTAAAAAGTAAATCCAAAAAATTAATAATAATAACTAACGAAAAACTAATATTATTTATATAAAAATTGGGTGATAGACACCTTTTACCCCAACCCCCACCCCCCCCCCCCCCTCTATATTTTTTGTCTATAAAAAATATCTGAATTGTATTAAAGGAACGAATTTACAAATTTTCATTATATGAACATTAAACACTGAACTATTAGTAAATAGTCTAATACCAAGTAACAATTTACTAGATCAAAACTAAAGAAAATTAAGACCAAGAAATCAATAATAGAAAGTTAGAAACAGAACAAGAAGCCCAGAAAACCCATCCCATGTATTCACTGAAAAATCACAATCAACCATTAGTATCAAGACTCCAAGAAATCAAATACCGAAAAAATTAATAAATAAATTGATTCTACAATTCTATCAGCGATTCAACCGATTATACTCTGATTCTACAAAGCCACAATTTATATGCAGTTCAGATCAATTTGGGGTGTTGGGATCGTAGAATCACGATTTTAACAACCTTGATAAGAACTGTGTGGCTGTGAGCAAAAATGGACGGATCACGATGTTTCTTCTAAAGGCTAGATTAGGGTTGGGTGCTTATATATACTTTAACTGATATTATATCAGACTGGGACTTCTTTGGATGTGAGCTATTTTGAAGGAAAAAAATCCTCTGAGAGTCTCCAAAAAAAGATAGATGATCTATGCAAGCTTAAAAGAAATCTCATCAGGATATGATAGATTAAACGTAGAGTGCATTTAAAGAGAAAAACATCAGAGAGTCTCACCATATAGATTCTCTCATGGTTCACAGAACTCATCTGTGAGCATGTGAGTGCAATATATATATAATATCAGTGTGCTTTACAAAGACACTGTTTGACACGTTCAACAATGTCTAAACGGTGAGCCTATCATCATGACCCATGAAGAGTGCAAAGGAACAGAGAAGCCATATCCAGCAAAAATAGACTCAGCGGTCTCAGCCGAAAGCTCCATTTGTTAAGTTATTGATGTTTGCACTGTGAGTTGTTCATTCTAGCTAGTTGTTGTAACTCTTATCATAGGTGCTAGAATGTATTTACTATTCCTATCATAAATTGTTTTGAGAGAGTTTGGTCCAAGCAATGGGTTGCAATGGACAGGGAGAGTACTGAGCGATTATGCGGTGAGATTGGTGAGTGAACCCAAGAATTAGGGTGCTATGGACAAGGTGAGTGCAAGAGTGAACTTGTGGTGAGTGCTGCTATGAGTGAGAGTGGTGTACCTATTTATCATTCATAGTGGATTTGCTAAGCTAGTCTTCACATTTTTGAGGATGTTTCCCTCACTGGGGATTTTAACTTGTATATCTGGTGTCTTGCATATTATAAACACACCCCAACCCCCCCCCCCCCCCCCCCCCCCCCCCCCCCCCCCCTCCCCTCCCTTTTTCTCTCTTTCATGGTTTTTTTAATAAATGAATATGGTTTAGCATTGATCCTTGATGTAGAAAAATCACTAGTCTCTCCACACGCAGTACGAACTCTAGTCATTGTTTGACAATACATATCCTGAATTATAAGCCCCCCCCGGGTCATGGTTTTTTCATAAATGAATATGGTTTAGCATTGATCCTTGATGTAGAAAAATCACTAGTCTCTCTGCATGTAGTACGAACTCTAGTCATTGTTTGACAATACATATCCTGAATTATAAGTTTTTATAGGGATCCGTTTTCTTTGTAAAGCCCACCAAGTTATGTCACTAAGAACTCTATCATATGCTTTCTCCACTCTATGAAAAAACATGTGAAAATATTTTCCTCTTTTTTTTTTTTCTTTCTACGTGCTTCTAGTAATTGTCTTACACTCTTAGTAAATGAATAGCCTCCACAACTTCAAGGCATAAATCCAAATTGGTTATAGGATATTACATTATTACGCAACTTTTGTGTAATTAAATAAGGGTAAAAATGGATAAGGATCAAGATACTTAATTTTTTTGATAAGTAAGGATCAAGATACTTAATATTAACAATGCAAATGACAAATGAACAAAGTATGAATATGGGGGGTCATTAACATAATATAAAAGTTTGAGTGGTACTTAATAAGGAATCAGTTTATAAGAAAAAAGGTAACAGGAAAAATGCATCTAAAATTAGTTGTGTGATAACTGATAAAGTGGCAATTATTTTTTCATTAATGTATGTCATTTAAAATATTGTTAGATGAATTAGTTGGATAAAAATTTGCTCTCGGGCCATTTGTAACATGTCTTACATGTAGCAGCCTGTCAAATATTATCCTTCTTTTTCCCTTTCTTTTTTGTTGTCCTTAAAGAGTTTGAGTACATGGAAAAAGGGCAATCAATATATAATCAACCTGTAATCTGGAATGCTAAGTTTATCAAGTCCAACAGTTAAATGATCAATGATGGATTCCCAAAAAGGTATTAAGGGTTTTTTTCTCAATGTAGTAAGGGGTTTAAGAATATCAAGTATTTCTTTTCACACACCAGCATTGTGCACTGCTGTATGTGTGTGTGAGAGCTCCTACATGTGCAGGAAACTAATTCCTAAGTGGGGATGGTTGCATCTGATTGAAGCAATTTTCCTACCCATGTGAAGCTCTTCCGAAACATGTACGAAGAAGGTCTCCCAAGCTCTTTCTCCAAGAATTTAGCTAAAAATCTAATCAAATAAATTTTACCAGTCTTCTATTGGATTCTCAATGAAAAGAATTAATTACAATCAAAATTCAATTTTACTTGGTATAGCAAGACCATCATAATTCATAAGTTTAAAATAAGTTAGATTCATGATGACATATTTTTTTCACTTAAGCAAGCATGAAAAAAAAGAGAACCAACAAGAATAGGCAAAACAAGAATGATCTACAACATTTCAAAGTTACCTGGTACCAAAGAACGGTTTTTCTACGAATTTCTCTAAAAGTTTTCTTGCATGCTCCCGAACCTAAGGATCAATGAAATAGTAATGGATTAATTTGAACACAATGTGCAAATTGGAACAGGGGAAACAGTTTAAAGGTATTTCACTTGATCAAAAAATTATGCAATGGAGAGGCTATTGTAAACTATACTCGTAGACAAAAAAAACTATTAATGTAAAATCAAGTTACTTCCTAAGTAGTTATGATATTACACATTGTCATAGCAGGCGTGACACTTCTCACCATAGACAATCCCATGCTGGACACCTATCAACACAACAATGCCCAGCACTTCCTCTTGAACTAAAGCCAATAGAAAGATCATAGAGATGCACAAGAAAATGAGTATGATACATGCTGAGAATTGTTTTGAGTTCCCACATATGGTACAGAATAAATCAAAATGGTCCATAGAGCAAATATAGTCAAACACTTGAATTTGGGATTAACTACTTTACCTTGTTTTCCATAGAGCAAAGTGCAAATTTCCAATGAACACTTTCACTAAGATTGCACAAAAGAGCATCAATCCACTCACTCTTTCCTGAATTAGGAACTCCAGTTACTATGGTCAACTCTCCCGGCACAACCTGATCAAAACCCAAAAAATAAAAATAAATCAACAGCATAAATGGAAGGTTCCCTAGATTGCAAGCTCTTTCAGTGCATGGTTGTGTTTGAAAAAATAAATAAATAAAGATTCATCTCATCAATTACTTATAGTTAGACTAATCAATCATACAAAACTAAAAAGAGATATATGAATAAACTAAGGAAAAAAAAAAAAAAAAGAGAGAGAGAAAGAGATATATGAATAAATAAAATAATATTTTACACAATTGGAGAAGTATTCAGACTCCACTATAAGTGAGGCTGAAACACACAGTATTACCCTACACTCCTTATGGTTAAATAAACCAACTGATCAAAACCCAAAAAATAAAAATAAATCAACAGCATAAATGGAAGGTTTCCTAAATTGCAAGCTCTTTCAGTGCATGCTTGTGTTTGAAAAAAAAAAATAAAGATTCATCTCATCAATTACTTACAGTTAGACTAATCAATCATACAAAACTAAAAGAGATATATGAATGAAAGAAACCATTTTTTACACAATTCGAGAAGTATTCAGACTCCACTATAGGTGAGGCTGAAACAAAAAGTATTACCCTACACTCCATGTTGTTTTCATACTCATATATATGTTTGTCTTTCTTGAACATTAGTTTATTCTACACATTTAAAAACCTTCATCACTTTTCCAAGAGTCAATTTATAGCCTCGTCTATCGAGTTGGTGCAAACCCAACACCAACACACAAAAATCGATGAATGGTAGGAATATGCTAATATCTCCTGGACCACACTTCTCATACCATGATGCTTCATCACTCAATTACACCATGATGTCATTTAATCAATATTCTCTTTAAAATGAAAGAAAGCGTAAAAGGAAGCTAAAGAAATGAGTTGAAAATTCAAGGCGTAAATCTAAATATACTTACATTGTATAGTTCATCCAAACACCTCCATCCAGTTGAGACACCAATCTCATAACCAAGAGTTCGATTATAATATGCATCAATCTCATCAAAATAATTTTTAAAGTTGAACAGTCCCTTTATAGGATATAACTCAGCAGTATCAACGACTTCTTTCAGCTTATCAGGTCCCATAAACATGAGCACCTATGAGGATACATTTAACATATAGACAAAGTTGGAACAATAATCTCAGCAAAAATAGATGAATGGAAACAAATTGCAAAGAGTATCAATGCTAATGAGTCGCATACAAAGATGAATGGAAACAAATCGCAAAGAGTATCATAAAATGGCAAAAATGTTATCATGAGTCAGATGTGTAAATGTATCATTTAATGAAACAACAATTTTAAAGTCCTTTTTTCTCAACACATAATAATATTGTACTTCTTGAGCATGACTGTATGACAGTAGAAGTTCTACCCGTTCAAAACAAAATTGAGTACGGAAGCACAAATGTCACGACACACCCCAACCCGTGTCGATATTATCCGCTTTGCACACTATCGTCTCGGTACTCACGGTTTTGAGGGTGTTTACATGGTAAGGGGCGACACATACAAGCCTCAGCAACTCCACCCCCCCCGGTTCGCTTTGCACGGTCTCCTCTCGGTGCTCACAGTTTTTGCTCAAAACACGTCTACACAGTTAGAAGGTGTCCACACGTATAAGTGTCATCAAACCTCACACTCCCCCACCACAGGAGATGTGGGACGTCACAACAAATGCAAAAGCTGTGTTACCTACATGAAGGATACTATAATTTTGGACAGATACAACTTATATAAAACAGCCCAAAGAACCCCTTGTGTAAAATCCCATCTGAACTGATCTATCTAAACAAGTAAAAGAACAAACAACTCTCACTGCAGAATACGAACATCCAGGAGAAAGGACTAGGGTTATGATATGGACTTTACTTAGTCATTAAGGCACTTCAGATTCTTCAAGAAATAAAATTTGAATTCGGTCTTTAAATCTAATTTGCATCATTGCAAGCATATGAACCGCAATCATTGAAGCCTCATTTTATCCTGGTGGCTTCTCAAGTGACTGCATGTAAGCCTACAGGAGTTCAAGCCCATTTTTATTTTTTCCTGAATGTGTTCAAGCCCATTGAAGTGGCTTAGATTTACTTTGGATAAAAGTACACAAAAACGTTTTATGAGTCATCATAAACAAAAAGGAACAGAAAAGAAAAAACAGTAATGTATGCCGAACCTCATTTGCATCTTTGAAATGGACAGCCTCATTTGCATCTTTCAAATTGCCAACCTCATTTGCATCTTTCAAATTGTCATCCTTATTCATCTTTGGCCAACAGACTCGCCAGCATCTACAAACCCACAAAAAGTATGGTTACAAATATATCTTTACAAGGGCGCGAAGATTGTTTCAAAGAGAATGTTGGTAAATAGTATAGTATCATCAGAAGAATATAAATGTGAACCTTTCTCTTCCAAGACGGCGTGCAAGCTCTTCAGCTAAGGCTTGACCAGGTCGATCCGCATCAGTAGCAAGAATTATGCGAGATGCCTATCAAATTTTCAAACAACCAAGGCATTTGTTTTCTGCAATAACTCTACAATTAAAGAAGGGATCAAAAGAACTAACCTTCTCAAGGTACTTTTTGCAGTTCCACAGATACTGATACTTTGTGTCCTAGCTTTACAAAATACATTAAAGAAGCATTAGATTCGAGATTTAAATATAGAATGGAACCAGATATGACAACCATGAAAGGATAAGAGGACAGTTCTGCAACTCTCCACTTTTTGCTTGCGATCAACAATGAAACTATTACTAAAGCCTACCCAAGGACCGAGTCTTAAATTGGGCACAAGCAACTAAAATGGAGTGGGAATATTGGAGAGACAAGAGGGAAAACAGAAACATACCATGTATTGAAATTATAGTAGAAGAAGGAACTAAATTACAGAAAATTTCAGCAAGGAGAAAATGACAAACCATGATAAAGAATGCATATAATTAATCATCAGAGAAAAAAGTGTAAAACTGATGACCATTTCCGTTACAGCAAAGATGAAGCAAGCACATCAGAAGTAGAGTCAATAACGCAAACAGAACTGTGAAATCCCGACTATAAAATAGACCAACTACAACCAGGATTTCAAGATAATACCACATACATATGGTGTATGGTTTACAAAGAGCACAACAACAATACCAAACAACCTTTCAGCTAGAAGTCTTGCATGGGTTAGAATATAAAAATTATTTCCTTTTAGAATGAAGAGCTTCAATTCATCTATATTTTACCAACGAACACTTTGGATAAAGAGCTCCAATGAACTCCAATGAACTCCAATGAACTCTTTGGAGTTCTGAGTTGACTCGAGGAGAGGGTATCCTCAATATTTGGATTGACCTGAGGTTTATCTGTGGGAAAGAACTCATTAGGGTTTTAAGTTGAAGGCGTTAGACCATTTTGCTGTTCGAAAGCCTTTTTTTTATAAGTAAGATTGTATTAGAAAGCACTCAAACGGGGAAGGCATCCCATACAAACTTCATAAGGCTCAAAAAAGCCACTAAGCTCTAAGAGTTCAAAAAACCAAATATCTCCCTCATGGATTTACAATTTCTCTCCAAAACCCAACAAAAAAGAGAATAAAGGATATAGAACTTTAGCGTTCCACTAGGAGTCACCTTGCCATCAAAGGATCTCAGATCTCCTATTCCTTTCTATCCATAAACAACACCAAACACACAGAGGGGATACCCTCCAAATGTCACGGGATTGGGATCTCCTATTCCTTTCTGTTCAAAAGCCTTTTCTTGACGACATGGCAATGGCCTAGTGGAAAGGCTCGTAGGTGATATCCAACACAACAGTCCACAAATTTCGATCTCTGAATACCAAAAAGTTTTCACATCTTTGAAATTTCATATACGATAAATCCGAACTTGAAATCATGATACACAAATCTCAAATATTGAGTGAGCCAATTTCTGCAACATTTGCTTTCAGAGATTGTATATAGGGTAGGAACACCTTACACATACATGGAATCTGCGACTCAAGTCGATCTATCAATTCACGAAACTTGAAACTTCCTTAAAAATCATCTATAGGTTACATATACATGTGTGTGTGTTTATAACTTGCAATTCATAATCTAGGGAGAGAGAACTCTATTCTTGTAAGGAACATCATTGTCGTACAGTTTTATATCAAAACATTATCAAAACTATTGAGTATCACTAAACATGTATTATAAAATTTATAAAATGGACATATAAAATTTAAAGAAATTGACATTTCTATGATTCATAAGTTGACAAAGACCTGGTCTTCAGATGGCACATCTTTAGTGGAAACTGATGGAGGTGCACCATCAGGGACAGACACACAATTCCGGAAACCAGCTTCTTCCATAGCAAGTTTGTCCATTTCACCCTCAACCTACAATCAGAAATATAAACCTAACATCAGATAGAGAACAAAACTTTAAGGATGTTCCACAAACTGCAGAACACTAAGAAGGTATGACATTATGAGTACCGTACAATGATTATATCATCCGTGTTGCTTATATCATCAAGTCCATAGAATATCTTTTCAGTATCCTTTTCCTGCAAATTAACAGCAGAGTAGTGATAAGAGCAATATCAGAGTGGTATTAAAATCTAATTACATTTTAAAAATTAAAGTAGAAACAAATATAATAAGAGTTCACTGTAAGAATAGTTTAGTAAAAGAAAAAAAGTATTGACACAACACAAATATATAGATCCACAGCCAATTGACTTAAAGGTCAATGAAAGGCACAGCCACAAAAATGGCATTTATCTAAAAGAACAGGACCTACACTTCAATTATTATGTTGGAGACATTTCTCTTAGAAATCCCTCTGATCAGAATATCATTGTAAATAGATTAATTTCACAGATCTTTGGCAAAATTTAAGGTATAATCATCCAATCAATAAATTTCTGAGCAAATTTAATCACCTGCACAGGGTTGAGCTTTCAGCTAAAGGATTTAAAAGACAGTTAATGAGGAATTATTGCCATTGTTCCAGCTTCGCTTGTTAATTACTTAATTTAAATTTCTACGGTAACATTAATCATAAGAACCTGCCAAAACTTTTTGGTGATGCCACGGTATTTGCAACTCACAAGTGCTCCATTTCGTCGATAAGGAAATGCAATGACAATCTGCCAATAGAATTTCAATAGTTAGTTAAGGCAAAACCAAAACTAATAGTCATGTTTATACTTCAAGAATTGGAACAGAAATTGCACTAAAAAGGAAATAATCCTTGCACTCTTAAACTTCAGAAATGAGCTTACTTTACCACATCACATGACTGAGAAGAAGTGAAGCACCACACGGTTTCAGATGGGTAGTAAATGTCAATTTAAACATTTTTCTTTCCAATTTTTTAACTGTTTGGATAGAAATCAATTTGGTTTCACATTAATATAATCATAGTTCAAGACTTTTAATGTTCACCAGATATTCCTTCCCTAACTTTTAATAGTAGACTGCTCAGAACCTACCAATTGACATGTCCCTCAGGCAATTTACATACCGCAAAATATGGAAACTTTCGAACAAGCAAAAACCAATCAGAATTAGACTCCACCATTTTCCAATTAACAAGGAGAATGCAGCTTATTGGTGATAGCTTTCTCCAACTGGATCAACCATTGTCATACAAAAATGATAAGAAAGGTCCTAGCAAATAGTAGATATCACCCAACTAGGACTTGAAGGATTCAGCAAAAACTTCTACAGCTCAAAATTTTGTTCTTAAACATAATACTGCCACATGATTGAAAAATACAAATAGCTACTGGTAGTAGTACTTGAAGGATTCAGAATGGTTGTTGACCTCATCACCACATTTTCTTTGCATTACAGAATTTCTTTGCAGCGTTTCCACCGATATCATTCTTTCATTAAAATATTCACGTAGCTGAAAAAAACAACAAAAACAAAATATTAATAATGCTCATTAATAACAGTATAAATGTGTGGAGGATACCACTCAAACTTGAATGAAAACAGCATGATAAAGAAATAAAAGAAAATATTTTTTCAAGCGGAAAAAAATTCTTGGTTTTGGCATTCAGCCACATGCATGCAGCAGTCTTGTTAGTGAAAACGGTAGAATTATCAAGGGTGTTGTAGCCTAGTGGTATCTCCTCTACCTCCCAAGGTGGATGGTGAGGATTCAAGCAAATGGGTGTGTGAGCTTCTTGCCAAGGAAACGAAAAAACAAAAATACAAAAAAAGGGTATAATTCATAAGCTTCCTAAACAGGATATATTACAAAACTAAAGTGAGCAGACTACATTAAAATTGAAGGGGAAAACAAAGTTTTTCAGCTTGACATAATACAATTTACCCATCCACTATGTGCAATTTTAAGGCTTTCAGGCTTAGGATGCAGTTCTCAAGACTCGTCTAATAAGTGTGCATCATTTTCTTTTATTTTAAGAAAGAAAGTTTTGCCTCCCATACAACCAAATATAAGGGCTTTTAAGCCTTTTATTACAAAACTGGCATTTAAATACCATTTACACTCTTTCCATTTTTTTTTTTTTTTTTTTTTGATAAGTAAGATTGTATTAGAATTAGAAAGCATTCAAACGGGAAACACATCATGCAAAAGCTACACAAGGCCAGATAGGACCCCTAAACTCTCAAAAAGTCCAAAAAATCAACTATCTCCCCCATGCATTTACAATTTCTCCCAAGAACCCAACAAAAAAGAGAACTATGAATAAAGAACTTCAGTGTCACAATAGGAGTCTCCTCTCCATCAAAGAATCTCCTATTCCATTCTGTCCATAAGCACCACCAGACTCACAAGGGCACTACCCTCCAAAAGTCACGGGCTTGGGGCACCCACTATAGACCCTCTCCAAGCCTCAATCAACCTTCTCGAGGACCTAGGTTGTGTGTCCTTTATATGAGGATTTCTTAAATTTTATAAAATTATCTTACTTAGCAAACAAACAAAAGAGAAAAGGAAATTCCTTTATACGAGAATAATGCGATGAAGCATTGCGTAGTTTAAATAGGGACAAAGCACCAAGTATGGGATGACTAACGCTTGCTTCCAAGAATGTTGTGGGATTGTCTGTAAGGATGTTTCTCATTCATTTAATCATCTCCAAGGTACTAAACTTGAGACGAATTTGAGTGATGCGACCTTCATTTTTGTGATTTTGAAGTAGGGAGAAGCTGTGTACTTTAAGAACTCTAGAACTCTATTTGTTTAGCGGGTTGCACATATAAGCTCATAGCATTTTGAAGGTGGTTGATAGAGTAGTATTAGATTCCTTAACTGATTCCTTTCGAGGTGGGCAGATTTTGGATCTGATACATGTGACTTTGAGATCGGACAAATTCGCTGTTATAAGTAAGCTTCAATCTCGAGAAGGTACATGTTCATGTCCTCTAAGGAACCCCACAATTTATTATAGACGGGAGGATTTGGTGTCAAACTGCAGGTGGTACAATAATATGGACCTGTAGTTTTAAGGGTGGTCAAATTTGATCTGTTTGGAATTACAAGGTCAACACCTGACATAAAAAATATATATATATTTCTACTGCAAAACAAATTGGAGCTTTTTATTAGACTCAGATAGCTAGTAACAAATGTCTAAAAAATGAAAACAGGATTTCTACTGTAGCTTTGAAGAAGCACTGCAGCTTTTTCTAAGAAATAAAAGTATTTTCAGTAGGCTTGGCTCATTTAATAAACGAGCTCACATTAAATGAGCCTAAAAAGTGAGGTCAAGCTCTAATAGTTTACTTAATGATTGAACATGGCCTAAAGCCTTTAACAAGTCAAAACCGAATTCTTCATCAATAGTTCGGTTCATTTACAGTCCTATCAACAACACTTTTTTCAAGGGAATACTATAATATGGAGATCCAAAACTTGTTAAACATTGAATTGATGTATCATACACAACACACCATCGCAGTAACATACTCTTCCAAAAAATCTTATCTATGATAAATAAGAGTTAAGAGGGTAAAGTGCTTAGAGCATTTAAGAAAGTAAATTTAACAAGAAGGAAAAGGGTATTCAAAAAATATAAATTAACTACCGCATCACAGAGTGGTTCCAACTCCAAACTCTCTTCTGTAATTTCTCTCTTGTGCTTAACTTTTGGGCTCCGAATCATGCTTCCTGACTTAGCATCTGCGTGGGCCTGAAACCAAAGCGCCACACTTGAAAAGGGGAATCTCAAATAAAATAGAGTCTGAATGAAAACTAAAAGAAAACAAAAAGTAACCTGTATACTGCCCTTCCATCCACAATTTGCCCGAAAACAATTCCAAACTGCTGATCTCCTACACATATTGAAATGACCAGAATAGATATTACTGGCATAAGGACAAGTAATAAGAGAAAAAAATAGAGTGGCTTACCAATTTTGAGAGATACAAAGGGCTAAGCTCTTCTCTCCGGAAGCCCCACCTTTGCACTATGGAAACAAGGAAAAAATAAATAAATACCTAAATACATATTTTACATTGGAAAACCAAGGTTTTAATTTTATCCCAAAAACCAAAATGCTTAAATGAGTTGGTCTTCTTTTTTTTTTTTAATGAAAATATTTCTTTTGATAAGTTTTTTTTACATTTAAATATGCTACTACAGAGTCGTATTTATAAATGATATAAGCATATACGTATTATATATAACATGTTTAATACTGTAACTAATAATATGTATTTATCAAAAAAAAAAAAATTGCAATGTATGCGTTACCAATTTCTATTGGCCATACTTAAATGCCACAACATGGTCCCATCAGATTACAGGCACTTGGAAACATTTCAAACCACAATATGCAAATCCGAACACTCCAACACGTAAATCTTAGACAACACAACATATGAGAATCTTAATCTTGACGAAGAGACACTCGCATTTCAAGCAGCATAAATATTAAATAACAGTGCAAAATCCAATAAAACAATGAGCATAGAACTTTCAAATCCAGTTATGCACCAATGAAGTTCGAAAGATAGCCTAATTAATATGGATGCTTATCAATATCAAACATTTTCAAATGTTTAACCTCATGGTACATGAGCTTAAAATCAGGATTAATAATTTTCTTCCATGGTAGCATATTTCTTTTTTATTTGGTTCCATAGATCGATATATTCAGTTTTTTATTTTATGCGCAAGCTCCGGCACAAGAACACAGTTAACCAACCACTCTGTGAAAACAATACTGAAAGTTCAACCCATACCCAAATCTACACCAACTAGTACTTTGTATTCAGTGGGATGACCAATGGCTTCATTTTGCGTTCTTTTAAACTTTTTCCAGTCGTTATTTGAAGAGGGAATTGCTAATGACTATGGCCAGCTCTGTAGTTTTGCGGCTTTCGTTTAACCAGGAACTGTGATCGAATCATTATATAATAGTTGCTAGATGCAGTAACCTTACAAGGCAGCATAGCAGCTTTCAAGAAGCGAAATTAGGTCTTGATTAATTGAATTTTCTTACAAATGAATTTCGGTTGCTTGAGTTACATTGAGTGAATCCGTTGATAGACCATCATTAGGATTTTAATATAAAATCTAATACATTACAAAAATACTTTTATTACTCCATACAATGAACATATTTTAAACAGTAGAATCGAATCATAATTTAAGTTCCTAGAATTCCTTGAATATTTTGTTAGACATACATTTTAAGATACAAGTCATCGTCAAAAGTGTGTTTTATGCACTTCATAAATGTCTTAAAACTTAAAAGACATGCATGATTCATGTTTCATCAGTTATCAGTTTTAATTATTTCTTATCTTTAGTAGCCAATCACATCCATTCAATTATTTGGTTATATATAGTAATCACATAACCATATATATCTATGCACAGACATGCATAATTTCTATAGAATGTTGTTGTCTGGTTCAACAGATGCCTTCAGTATCAGTGTCATTGACACAGGTTTGAGCCTAAGACCAACCACTTTCCGAATAACAAATGTTAGGTTTATCTGAGTCCTCTCTCCCCAGGACACGCTATAGCAGGACTAAAACCAGTAATGCCCTTTTTACATTCATACTTGTTATATTCAATAACATTTCCCAACTGATCAAATGTTGTTCTCTCTGTGTAATCTTTCTATAATTAAAATAGTGGTGGAATATTAGGTATTTTCTTTGCCTAATTACACCTCAGTACCTAGAAACTACCTATTACTTCTAAAGTAAAAGGCCTCGCTCATGCTTGCACTTGGAAAACTATGAATGAATTGACCCAAATTATAGCTAATTTTTTTTCTTGGTAAGTTAGTTTTGCATTAAATAAATCCAGACTCATTTGGATTGGATATCATTTTTTTTTTTTTTTTTTGATAAGTAAAAAGTATATTAGAAAAGCGTTCAAAAGGGGAACGCGTCCCTAATACAAGAACGAAAAAAAGACCTAAGGACCAATAGCATCCAAAAGATCAAAAAAGTCATCAATCAAGGAGCACACGCTTCCTCTTACATAACAGGAAAGAGAACGAATAATATGAATTTTTAGATTTGCTAAAGACGATTCCTTGTCTTCAAATTTTCTGTTATTCCTCTCTCACCAAAGGCACCACCAAACGCAATGTGGAACAATCCTCCAATAATCGCGAGCATGACCTTTAACTGGGCATCGTTTCCATGTGTTGATCAATTGTAAGGAATGCTTAGGCATTACCCAATAAACACCAAACATGCTAAATATGAAATTCCAACAATTGTACACCACAGGACAGTGCTTAAGAATGTGATCCACGGATTCTCCATCTGCTTTACATAGACAACACCAATTAAAAATGGTGTTACCTCTCCTTCTCAGATTGTCCAATATCAAAATCTTTCCCAATGTGGCAGTCCAAACGAAGAATGTGATTCTAAGAGGAGCTTTAGAACACCAAATAGACTTCCATGGGAAATCATAACTAATGAAATTGGACAAACACAAGAACATAGATCGGACACCATACCTACCATGGGTTAATGGGACCCACAACATAGCGTCACACCCTCTGCCAATATCCTTCTGTCTATACAGCAGATCCAAAAAAACACATGCTTCCTCCATCTCCCAATCCTGAAAGGAGCTCCTGAAACGCACATCCCACGTAACTCCACTATTATCAAGATGATAACAATCAATTACGTAGGCGTGCTTATTATCAACAATACTGTAAAATCTAGGAAAGGAGTGAGACAACAACTGATCACCGCACCATAAATCCTCCCAAAAACGAACATGCCTACCATCACGAACCTTGAATCTAATATGTGAGGAGAAAACATCCCAATCCTTCCGAATGAATTTCCACACACCAACGCCTCCTGTAACAGAGACTGGACGGTAGGACCAACCCCAACTCTCCTCTCCAAAGCGACACGAGACAACTCTTCACCACTGGCGATGGCGTTCCTTACCAAATCTCCATAACCACTTTCCCAAAAGAGCTCTATTAAAAAGGACCAGCTTACGAATGCCTAGGTTGCCTAAGTTCAATGGTTTGCAAACTTGTTCTCAATTAACAAGATGATACTTAAACTCCTCTCCTCTTTCGCCCCATAGAAAATCCCTCTCAATTTTTTCAATCCGTTCATCAACAGAGCATGGGATTTGAAACAAAGAATGAAAGCAGGTAGGAAGGGACGAGAGAGTACTCTTAATGAGAATGACTTTCCCCCCCACCTTTAAAAGATACTATTTTTTCTAACCTACTAATCTCTTCTCATATCTATTAATCACCGGTCCCAGTTCCCCACTCTCGTGGAGGAAACTCCCAAAGGCAATCCCAAATAAGGAAGAGGAAAAATGCTCACTCCGCACTCAAGAATTGCAGCTAAGAAGAAAATATCTGGAACATCCCCTACTGGGACAAGCACACTCTTCCCAACATTAATCTTAGGTCCAGAAACCGCTTGGAAACAAGCCATAATGCACCTCAAATATCTGAGTTGGAAGACATCAGCATCACAAAAAACCAAGGTGTCATCCGCGAACAACAATTGGGAAATCTGCATCTGATGTTCAACATCTCTGCCAACTATGAAACCCCTGATATAACCCAAATCTTCCGTTTTTCTCATTAATCTGTTCAATCCCTCCATGACAATAAGGAATAGAAAAGACGATAATGGGTCTCCTTGTCTCAAACCACGCGAACTAGCAAAAAATCCAGCAGGGGAACTATTCACAAGCACAGAGAACATGACAGGCGAAATACAAGTTTCTATCCATTTTATTCACCTATCTCCAAACCCCATCCTCCGAAGCAAATAAAGAAGAGTCTTCCAATTAACATGATCATAGGCTTTCTCGATATCAAGCTTGCATAAGACGCCAGGAACCCCACTCATTCTCATAACTCCTTTTCTACCTTCTTCGTGTGAAGTGAGAAGTGGGGATGGTGTGGAGGATGGGTTGATTCAACAGAGGGATTTTTTTGGGTCTTCAGATTCACGGATTGATGGGGCAGTGATGGATGTTTCAAAAATTATATATGGGAGCGCAGTGTCACGGGCTTAGAGTTTCAGCACCACTGTAGCTGCTCCCGTGCGGCACCAAGACGTTGCTTTCACTCTCGCAAGTACTTGGTCAGCCTAACTCCCGTGCACACCTTAGCCAACACACTCCCCTCGTGCGCTTACTAGTGTTGTAGTTGCCCTTGCCCTCTCCTCACTTGGCTTGCACACTCACACACTAAGGCACTTAAGTTGGCAAGGAAAGAACACTTCTATTACTTCAAAGAATGCTTTGTACAAGGCTAACACTCAAGCTCTCTACAAGGCTCTCAAGACTCACTCTAGGACTTGTTGCCTACAAAATGAAGTCCTACCTCTATTTATAGGCATCCCCATCCCTAATGGACGGCTAGGATGCATTCTAACCAACGGTGGAGATTGATTATCTAGAATCTTCTCCCACCTTCTTCACACTTCCATACTTATCTACTAGTATCTACAACATTCTAGAATTCTCCATACTACTCCACACAACTCTGGAGAACTCTAGAACCTTCCACACACTTCTACACATTTCTACACATATCTAGAAACTTCCACATAACTCTAGACTATTCCGGAAGACTCTAGAAACTCCACTTGCCATGCAGTTGCCATGCAGCGTCCTCCTCAGCGTCTGCGTGTCGCCTGCGTGGCATAACCTCCATAAGCGGGGCGTGACATTCTCCCCCACCCATTTCCGTGACGCCCTCGTCACGGTTTCTTCAGCTGACCCAGCCTCTCGCAGGTCATCAGCACTTGCGCATATGTCCTTGGCCCAAACGTACGAGCGCCCTTCGGGAGATGTGAAGTCCTCACGAGCTCCATCGTGTTGACTGCCACCTCTGGACTCTCCTTCCTGCCCACGAGCGGCACCATGCATGCGGCCTTACATTCCTCGCCTCCAAGTATCATCAACGCACCAAGGCATGGTAGTGGCGCGGCGTTG